GCTTGGCCTGCTGTGTTCATCCAGCTCTACACCTTGTTATCTCAGATTGTCCAGCATCTGCAGTTCCTACTATCTCTGTTACTGTAATCAAACTGCTGCCAACCCTCTGGCATTCAACACAATTTCTAATTATTGGAAGAAATATTTTAAAATTCTTCAAAGAGCACAATTTTCTGTTGTTAAATCCTGTAAACCAGTCAGAAACATTTCCTCTATCTACAGGAAACTTTTAGACCCTTCCGACATTGTTTTGGCTTCGTAATATAAGAAACCAGTAAACGTCCCTTTTTTTATTCATTTGTGGGACATTTAACAATTATTATTCCTCCTTGTCCAATTTCCTGTTTCCATGTCAAGCATCAAGCATGCATTTAATCTTAATGTCCATACAATAAGTGCAACAGATGACATTTACTCTTAATGCCTATATCCACTGGTCAAAATTACTTAACTTTAGCTTTTCAAATTCAATGTAACTTTGAATAACTGTTTCCTTATGCTTCAAAACATCTGCCTTTACACTTTAGAAACTGACTCCCATATACACACCTTTTATAATGCTTCACATTTCATAGAAAACTTTTGACAAAATGATGCATAAATGTTACGAGCCCTACCCAGCAACCTGTCCTTTATTCATTTTGCTCGTTATATTCTCAAAGAATTCTACTAAGTTTATCAAACAAAATTTGCTTTTTGTAAAACTACGTTGACATTGCTTGATTGTTTTCTGAGATTTTCTAAATAGCTGACTACTGCTGCTTCTGTAAAAAAAAAGGGGCCCATGCAGTTTTCCAATATTAAGCTAACTGGTCTATAGTTTCCTATGTTTTCTCTCTCTCCTTCCTTAAATAGAGATGTTGCATTTTCAGTTTTCCATTCCACCGGAATCTTTCCAGAACCAAGGGAATTTTGAAAGATTGCAGTCAAAATATCCACTACCTCTGTAGCCAATCCTTTTGGGGCTCTAAGACGCAGGCCATCAGTGTTTAGGGACTTATTCATCTTTAGTCCAATTGTTTTCACAAAAAAAGTGGAAATAACAATCGAAAAAGTAACCTTTGAATAAAACTAAACTCTTTTACTTATTTGACATAGCAAATCTTGTGCATTCATTACAGTTATATGCAATAATACAATTGCATTTTAAACAACAGGTGAATGTACAAGTTAACTATCAATGTTCTCACTTACCACTTGAGCAGTCTGTTCCTCCCCAGCCAGGCTCACACTGGCAGGTATCTGGAGAAACACACCTCCCGTGCATGCATTCTTCTGTGCACAGTGCTGTAGGAGGATAAATAATGCATTAATATTTGCACAATTTGAAATAGTAAAAAAATTAATATTTTAGCCATATCAAATATTGAAGAAGGTCTCTTACCATCAGTGACCCTTTTAAAAATTAAAAGTTATACAATAAACCGCAATTAATCTTATTTTCCAGGTTAGTAATTGTGGTTCTATCAGGATGTGGCAATGCCACCATTGGGTCAAGTGGCTGGGAAGGGATAATTTAGATAAGTTATAAGATGGCTGAATGAACATCCGCTGAAGTGTCATTAACACACATTGCTTTACATTGTTCATTTACAGTTTGTTTTAGTTCCCAGGAGGTGATGGTCTAGTGATGTTGTAATTGGACTGGTAATCCAGAGGGCTAGGTTTTGTACAGAGGATGTGGGTTTGAATCCCACAATGGCAGATAGTGGAATTTAAGTTCATTAAAAATATCTGGAAATAAGCTCTAATGAAGACTATGAAAACTATTGATTATTGTTGTAAAAACCCAAGTCCATTGATGTTCTTTCGGGGAGGAGAACTGCCATCCTTACCTGATCTAGCCTGCATGTGACTCCACAACCATAGCAATGCAAATGACTCTGAACTAATCTTTGAAATGATCTTGCAAGTCACTCAGTTCAAGGATAGCACAGATGAGCACAAAAGCAGGCCTTACCAGCATCATTCACTTCCCATGAATAAATGCATTTTAAAAATCATAATCCTGGGCTCTGAGTGCTAAATGGTGGAAGACGACTTTTAGTCCTCAATGGGCATGGAGACAGGTTGATGTAAAAATCTTCATTAGCAGCTTGCATGCCTGTTCCCAAGCTCCATCACACCCATGGTCACATTTTCCTAGAGATGGGGAGTTGGCAATGCCAATAGAGGACGGCTGACAGACTTCGCTGAGAAACATTCTGGAAGAAATCAGCTCAGTCACAAGGACTGATCAGCGAGTGTAGTGAGGAAGAACCCAGTGTCAAGGAACGAAAGGCAGATATCCCTATCCTCAATGACAGAAGGGCCCAAAAACATCAGTGCATAAGACCAAAGCAGTTGCAGCAGTCTTTAGCCAGAAGTGCAGAGTGGATGATCCATTTCTGCTTCCTCGATTGGTCCCCAGCATCACAGTTGACAGTCTTCAGGCAATTTGATTCACTCTATGTGATATCAAGAAGTGGTTGGAGGCACAGCAAAGGCATGGGCCCTGACAATATTCCGGCAATTACACTGAAGATTTGTTCTTCAGAACTTGCTGCTCCACAAGCCAATCTCTTTGAGTACAGTTATAACACTGGCATTTACCTGGCAATGTGGAAAATAGCCCAGGCATATCCTGTACACAAAAAGCAAGACAAATCCAAGCCAGCCGACTATCACCTCATCAGTCTACTCTCCATCAACAATAAAATGATGGAAGGTGTCATCAACAGTGCTGTTGAGGAGCACCTGCTCAGCAATAACTTGTTCAGTCTAGGTTCTGCCAGGGCTGCTCAGTTCCTGACCTCAATAGAGCCTCGGTTCAAATACAGATAAAAGAGTTGAATTCCAGAGGTGAGGTGAGAGTGACAGCCCTTGACATCAAGGCTACATTAGACCGAGTGTGGCATCAAGGAGCCCTAAGGACCACTCTCTCCTTGACTGTCTCGTCCACTCCACACTCCCCACTAGCCGCACCACACCCGGCACCTTTCCCTGCAACCGCAGGAAGTGCTACACCTGCCCCTACACCTTCTCCCTCACCTCCATTCAAGGCACCAACCAAACCTTTCATATCAGACAGAGGTTCACCTGCACATCCATCAATGTGGTCTATTGCATCCGCTGCTCCCAATGTGGCCTCCACTACATTGGTGAGACCAAGTGGAGGCTCGGACACCGCTTTGTAGACCATCTGTGCTCTGTTCGCAACAAACGACAACACCTTCCGGTCGCGAACCATTTAAACTCCCCCTCCCACTCCCTGGGCGACATGTCCATCCTGGGCCTCCTCCAGTGTCACAATGACGCTACCCAGAAACTGGAGGAGCAGCACCTCATATTCTGCCTTGGGAGCCTACAGCCCAATGGCCTAAATGTGGACTTTACCAGTTTCAAAATCTCCCCATCCCAGCCTCATCACATGACCAACCTCTCTCATCCCTGCCTCCCTGACCTGACACAACCTGTCCATCTTCTCTCCCACCTATCGGCTCCTCCCATCTCACTGACCAATCCCCACCACTCCCTACCTGCACTCACCTATCACCATCCCACAAACCTTCCCCAGCCCCACCCCTCCTCTCTTTATTTATTTCAGAGCTCCCTTCCCCCTCCTGCATTTCTGAAGAAGTGTCCCAAGCCAAAACGTCAACTTTCCTGCTCCTCTGATGCTGCCTGGCCTGCTGTGTTACTCCAGCTCCACACTGTGTTATCTCTGACTCCAGCATCGGCAGTTCTTACTATCTCTGATACCATTTTGGATACTGTTGGGGTGGTATAGCCTCTCAGGAGAGTATAACAGCAGCAGCCAGGCCTGTAGCACCACAACTGGCTCTGCTATAGAGAGACAGTAGGAACTGCAGATGCTGGAGAATCTGAGATAACAAGGTGTAGAGCTGGATGAACACAGCAGGCCAAGCAGCATCAGAGGAGCAGGAGGGCTGACGTTTCCGGCCTAGACGCTTCTTCAGAAAAGACAAGATCCAAGCGAGGAATAATGGTCGGAGACTCACTAGTTAGACAGGCATTTCTGTGGCGATGTTTGAGACTCCAGGATGGTGTGTTGCCTCCCTGGTGCCAGGGTCAAGGATGTCTCTGAGCAGCTGCATGAAATTCTGAAGGGGTGAGGGTGAGCAGCCAGAGGTTGTGGTGCGTATTGGTACCAATGACATAGGTAGAAAGAGGGATGAGGAATTAGGAAAGAGGCTAAAAAGCAGGACTCGAAGGTAGTAATCTCTGGGTTAATGCCAGTGCCATGTGCTAGTGAGGCATGGAATAGAAAGATAGGACAGATGAATACATGGCTAAGGAGCTGGTGCAGGGGACAGGGCTTCAGGTTCTTGAATCGTTGTGACCTCTTCTGGGGCAGGGGTGACCTGTACAAGAGAGATGGGTTGCCCCTAAACTGCAGGGGAACCAAAATTTTTGCAGGGAGGTTCACTAGTGTTACTCAGGAGGGTTTAAACGAGAGTGGCAAGGGCCTGGGAACCCAATCAACAGGTCTGCAAGTAGAGGGATTGAGGGGTAGGTGCATGTTCATACCAGTAAATCAAAAAAAAAGGATAAGCAGAGACAGGTAAATGAATATTATGATATTAATGGGCCAAAATGTGTTTATTTCAACGCAATGAGTATCATAGGTAAGGCAAATGAGCTTAGAGCCTGGATTGGTACATAGGACTATGACATTGTGGCCATTACAGAGACTTGGTCGAGGCAGGGTCAGGACAGGCTGCTCAATGTTCCAGGGCTTTGTTGTTTTAGACAAGATAGAGTGGGAGGTAAAAGAGGTGGAGGAGTTGCATTACTAATCAGGGAGAATGTTACATCTGCACTCAGAGAGAACATACTGGAGGGCTAATCCACTGAGGAAATATGGGTAGAACTCAAAAATAACATGGGTGCAATCACTCTGATAGGATTATACTACAGGCTCTCCCAACAGCCACCGAGACATTGAGGAAGAAATATGAAGGCAGATTACAGAAAGATGCAATAAAAAAGAGTTGCCATAGTGGATGACTCTAACTTCCCTATAATTTAGTTGGGACTCCCTTCGAGCAAGAGGCTTAGATGGGGCAAAATTGTCATGTGCATCCAAGAGAGTTTCTTGAAACAGTCCGATTAGAAGTAGTCCAAGCCTCAATATCTCTAGTCATCCAATGTTCCCTATTCCTGCCAGCCTTGCCCTTCACACGAGCAGGTATATGCTATCCCTGAACTCTCATTGGGCTCCCACTTGCCAAATGTCCCTTTACCTGCGAACGACCACCCCCATTCAACGTTTGAAAGTTCCTGTCCAATACCACCAAAATTGGCCTTGCCCCAATTTAGAATTTTGATGTGTGGACCAGGCCTATCCTTTTCCATAACTAATTTAATACTAATAGAATTATGGTCACTAGTCCCAAAGTGCTCCCCCACTAACACCTCAATCACTTGCCCTGCCATTTTTCCCAAGCGGAGGTCACATTTTGCCTATTTCCTAGTAGGGCTAACTACATATTGGTTGAGAAAGATTTCTTGAACAAACTAAACAAATTCCTCCCCATCCAAGCCCTTAACACTATGAGAGTCCCAGTCTATGTTTTGAAAATGAAAATCATCAACTATTACAACCCTATTATTGTTACAGCTATCTGTGATCTCCCTATATATTTGCTCCTCTATTTCTTGCTAATGAGAATTAGAATTAGATTTATTGTTGCTTGTGCTCAAGTATAATTCCATCAAGGTGATCACCCCTTTCTTATTTCTCAGTTCCACCCATATAGCTTCACGGATGATCCCAGGAAGATCCTTTCCAAGTATTGCCATGATGTTTTCCTCATCAAAAGCACAACTCCGCCTGCTCTCTTGCCTCCTCTTTCATCCTTGCTATAGCATCTGTGCCCAAGAACATTCAGCTGCCAGTCCTGCCTCTCCCTCAGCCATGTAATAGCTATAATATCCCAGTCCCATGTTCCCATCCATGCCTTGATTTCATCTACCTTACCTATCAGGCCTCTTGCATTGAAATAAATGCATTTTAATTCATTTTAAATTTATTTTCTCTTTTCAATGTTAATTGAGATAATAATTATTCTCTCTCCTCAGGTACTCAAAGTTACCAGTTTTTTTATTATCGTCTCAGGATGTGAGTGTAGCTGGATATGCCAATACATATTGCTCCCTCTTGGTGGACAAAACCTATAAAATCTTAAGGGGTTTAAACAGGGTAAACACAGGACACCTCAAAACAGTTTCCTTTGACTGTGGAGTCTAGAACCAGGGATTACAGGCTAAGGTTATGGGGTAGG